TTCAGCAAAATGATATTAGAATTTCATGAAATGTTCTTAAAAAGAAAGATTTTAGAAACGATTTGAGAAAGAAAGAAAAGTTCTTGGAAAGAAGAAAAGAAGAATTTTAGAACAGTTTACGAGAACAGTTTTCAAACCACCATGTTATTGTATCCATGTGATTACCCGTATGCTATGTGAATGTGTTTCTATAGCATACCCAGAAATAGAAGGTCTTTGAGACCATTTTACTCAACGTGTTGAGAGAATTACTCTGCTATGCGTATCGAGATTACTCTGAGATCACTCTATGCCAGTAGACCAGAATAGAATATGGATACATGTGTGGTATTGAGTTTTATCGATCTATTTTATGTTTGAAATAATAATATTTTATATGTTTTAGAATGTGTTTTAGAGCATGTTGAGAAGTTGACGTAACTAGGTCGCAGAGGATGCAGGGGAATGCCGGGGCGATAAGGGCCAAATCCGGGTTCCGAATCCTGGACTTGGGAGCGTTGTCTTTTCAGTTTGCCCAGCAAGAAATTGTTGTTACAAGTTTGATTTTGAGAAGTTTACTGAGTTTTATGAAATTTATAATGTTTCTCCAGTGTTACTCGAGTTTTATAGAATTTAAATGAGAATGTTAGTTGCTTCAGTTGTTTATGAAAGAAGTTTTACGAGAATATTTTCTTAATAACCTACCACTCACTGAGCTTCCCAGCTCACTGTTTATGTTTTGTTTTTTCCCCTAGGTTGTACCTGAGTATCTGAGTTTCTGAGTTTCAAGAAGAATTTAGTTCAGCTTCTGCCACCCAGAGTAGTTGAGGATTTGTATATCACTTTGTATGTACATGTAGTTATTGTAAAATTGTTAGCACCCTTTCAACAAGGAATGTATAGAATGGATGTAAGAATTGTTGTTCTGTTAAGATTATTATTTTATTATGCATCCATTCAGAGTTGTTAGTCAAAGTTCAAGTCAAAGATAAGAAGAAGTTGACCATTGACTTCGTAGTTAGTCAGGGTCTGTGGTCGGTGCGACTCGTTCTAGGACTAGTAGGTGTTTTGGATGGGTCGTGTCATAAATTCTATTTGTTTTAGGGTCTAGACATCTATAACCCTTGTGTATGGAACTATACCCAATGAACACACATGGATATGTTCGTTTATCAAATTTATTATGGTTATAGTTTCTTAAGTATGGAAAACACCTGGAACCAAAAACTCTTAACTATCATTTATAGGTTCTTTATTGTACAAAAGGCTAGAGAGTTTTCATTTTTAAGGATTGACAAGGCATTCTTTGTTTAAAAAAACAGCAGTGAGAAAAGCATCAACCCAATATTTCCTTGAAAAAGAAGGGCCAAACCTGTCCCCACCATGTGTATGTGTTTACTTTCTACAACGCCATTTTGCTAAGGTGTGTGAGGGCAGCAAAATTGATGTCGAATCCCTCTTTCCTCAAGGTAAGCTTTAAGAGTCAAGGAAGTGAATTATCCCCTCCATCACTTTGAAACACTTTGATTCTTTTGTCAAATTGATTTTCTGTCATCCGTTGAAATTTCACAAAGCAAGAGAATAAATCTGATTTTTTCTTTAGATGATATAACCATGTAAATCTTGAAAAATCATCCGCAAAACATGCATAATACTTGAAATTTTGACAAGATGAGATAGGAGCAGGCCCCAAGGATCATAATGCACCTTTTCAAACATAAACATACATTATGATTTGAATAAAAAGGTAATTTAGAACTTTTGTCCATTTGTCATTCAGTACACACATTCTCAAGAGCTTTCCAACTAGAAACATCAATAGCATTATTATTGCTTAAAACTCTAATATAACTTTCATTTAAATGCCTCATTCTTCTAAGCCATATAGAATAGGGAGCCTTATTCGTGCCGGTGGAAGCTAGATACGCATGTAAACCATCAATCTGTTGCGGCTGGCGTAAATCCAATGCATAAAGTCCTCCTTTCTTATGTCCCTTCGCTAGGATCTCCCCCTGTTTGTTCTTAACAACGAAATTGTCAGTGGAGAAAGTAATAACACAATCATTGTCCTTAGCAAGTTTACTGACTGAGAGAAGATTTTTTGTCATGTTAGGTACAACAAGGACATCTTTAAGGACTAAGTTTCCAAAATCAGTACTTATTATACTATGTCCTATATGAGATATTTCTAAAGCATTACCATCACCTGTATAAATTGATTCTTTTCCTTTATAGGGTTTAACTGAAGCTAGCTTACCAGCATCATTTCACACATGAGAAGTAGCGCTTGAATCTGCGTAGAGATTCTAATATGATGTATCCTTCAAGTTGAATGCAGCTAGTGCTTTAGGCAAATCCTAAAGTTGAAAGCTATGATCAAATCTGTTCCAACATTTAATGGCAGTGTGATTAAATTTTCCACATATTTGACAACTTACCCGTCCTTCAACCTTAAATGGAGAGTTCTCATTTGTTTTTACAGTTCGGAGTCTTTGAGGGGACTACTTCAGATCTGGTTGTTGCATTATATGAGGTCTGCCTTGTTGAAATCCTCGTCCTCTTGAGGAGAAATGTCTCCTCGTCCTCTGTTTCTTCCCCTTTGAGAGTAGAAAGCTTGATTATGGTCCATGACAGAAATTTTTCCTTCTTCTGCTTCAAGATTGATCTGCTACTCATGATTCTTTAGTGTGTCAGTAAGAATTGATTATATGTGGGATATGGTGGCTTTGAGAGCATGGCTGTTTTGAATTCTCTATAATTGCTTCCCAAACCTCTAGCTAAATGCATCACCTTAGTTAGATCGTCAAGAGGATTCTTCATGGCGGCTAATCTGTCACACAAGTCCTTGAATTTTCTGATGTACTCATCAAGCGACAGACTGCCCTTTCATAGACTTATGAGAGCTTCATTCAAGTGGAGTTCATTTTCTTTGGTCATGGTGAGAAGCAACTCTTCAAGCGAATTCCAGATTTGATGTGCGGATTCTGTGGCTTCAAGTTGAACAAGAACCTCTTCAGATATGATTCCTAGTAACCATGAGGTTAATAGGCCATCATTATTCATCTAGATGTTGTATTGTTCATTTCTGTGGTGCCTTGAATCTCCTCCTCAAATGGACAGTCTTTAGTCAAATGGCACTGAAGGCCTAGATTTCTTATGGGTGGATTGACCTGAGATTTCCATAGGAGGTAGTTAGAGCAATTAAGTTTGATGGAGATAAGGCTTGAACATTGGTGAAATGTTTGAATTGAGAGATGGGTTTCTGATTTTGCCATGGGATTCAAAATCTACTCTGCGCAAGAAGCTCTGATACCATAAATACAAAGCTATTGTGATGATATGCTTAGCAACGCAGGACCAAGAGTTGAGAATAAGAATCAAGAAAACCTTTTAATTGAAATTAGCAAACAAAAGATCATAGCTCTTGTGAGTGATAAATACTAGCACAAAGGAAGAATATAATAAGAAAGTATAGGTAACGGTAATATTTACATAAGTACTTAAATCTCACATATAGATTGATTTTATTGTTGTTTTTAGGGATTAAATCTCTGCAAGTTGTCCTCCATTGTTTCATGATTTATAGATCCAAATGTGCAAATGGTTGAAAAAAATAGTATGTTACAATGCATGCCTACTCTATTTGAGGAGCTGATTAATCATAATTAACCAACTAAAGTATATATCAATTAGTTAAGACATTATAATTTGGATTAAAAAGTTTAGAGATAACGGATCCCGAGTCCCACATATTTGTTCATAAGGCACATACCAGGATTTTAGGTTACAAAACACATGGAATGAGCGACTTCAACCCAGGAGGGGATGTGGGACGCCAACTTACCGAGGAGGAAACCAAGAGGCCAAAGACACTTTTCTTAATTAATTAGCATACTATATTGGATTTAATATAAATCTTGGGGACACGTGCCCCTGGTCCCCACGTGGATCTGCCTCTAGGCACATAGAGCATGTGAAATACGTTTTTGGGCAAAAATATTGAGCTTAGTCTATATTGCCAAGAAAAAAGGCACTCCTTAAACAAATCTTTTATTATGCTAGAGCGGAGGTACGTTGATCAGGGCTTCAACTTTAAAAATGTTGAATTTAATACACGCGGTGTGAAAATGTGTAATGAGACTGTCCAGCGGTCATGCCTTCCAATAATGCTTTAAGCCCCTCAACTTCTTTAGTTCGATCTTCTTGATATGCTCAGATTATCCCTAACTAATTAAATTATATTTAGTTACATAGACTAAGGCCATCACTTATAAGAATGTTACAATCAAAATTTGGAATCAATAAATATATTTGAATATTATTATTTTTGATAATTTTGGGATTTCGATATTTTAATTAACATAAATAAAAACAATATTAATCTTGATATGGTATAGAAACCTAAATAAAATAAGTTTTCTTCCACAAAAGTAAATAAGATCTCCCAATTCTTCGGGTGCAAATAAAAAAGTTTGAGAACTTATTTTAAACACAGTGGTTTGAAATGATTTTATTTTATTAAGAATGAGAAAACTTGAAAATAAATGCGATTAAAATTTTTTGTTTTTTTGATATCAATTAAAATTTTTTGTTTTGATATTTACAAAAAGTAAAAAGAATAAGAAGTTTCCAATATAATCTTCCCTTATCATAATTTTTCAACAAAGAACCAAATCCAATCATTTTAGTTTGAAATTTTATTTTATAAGTAGAAATTGTACTCAGAATCACTCTTTATAAAAGTAATGTTTGAAATTTTATTTTATAAGTAGGAATTATACTCAACCCTTTGTAAAAGCAATCATTCATGTGATAATTGACATCTACTCGTTGATGGGATTGGATGGGAAAGTTCAATCGTGGCACGAAAATTATAAGATTCGATTGGGATACCTCCCTAAATTATTGCATATTTGTACTGCAATCTCTTTTTTTTTTTATAGGGGAGAGGGTAGCGAAAAGGATGTCCCAACAATTTCATACATTAAAAAATAACCCCCTTTTTCTTTTTGCAAATCAGTTTTCGTACAACTTTGAACTCTGAATTCCATTTTTCCAAAAAACAAATTGGCAAAAAAGAGAAAAAAAAATCAATTCTTTCCAAAGCAGTCACAAGGCGAGAAAAAAGGGTCAGAAATGGCACTCAATATGGTAGAGAATATTTGTTTTTATCATTTTATTTATTTATTGAAAACAGTTACAGGTCTTTGGAGTCCTGGCCCAAAGAAGAAGACTTGGTAAATGAAGGTCTTTCTTTGTTCTTAAGGTAAAGGCCCGCCAGTCATGGAATCATTGCCTTAGTTTCTGCATTTTTCACTACAGGACAGTTTACACTGATCCTTTGCTCTTTCATATGAATCTTCTTCGTGTATTGACCTATTTTTTTCCTCTTTCCCATTGTTGAGATGGATCATTGATTTGTTTTTGCTTCAGTTTTTACTTTGGTAAGGTTAATCTTCTTTCTATTTGTTTTTCTTCATCTGGGTTCTTTTCTGATCGTTGTTTTCTTCTCTTTTTTTCCCTCTGTTTTGTCTGTGGTTGTAAATATGTAGCCCCTTCTTCTCCCTTTGCTGTTCTTACTGTTTCTGGGTTGTTCATGATCTGTGGTTGTTCCTTATATTCCAATTCCAGTTACCACTTTGTGGGTGATCTTCTGTTTGATTAAAACTTATGTTTGTTTTTGGGAAGAAACAGAGCTTGGGTTTAATGTGATCAAACAACACCTGAGGAAAATGTAAGTGATGAGAACTACTTTTTCAGTCTGTTTTGACTGCTTTTACATCATTGTCTGAAAAAAATTGTTTTAGGACTTGATGAAAGATGGTGGATGCCTGTTTATGAGTTCCATGGGAAGGAAGGAAGGATTGTTGTCAATCCAATGGCTCATGGCCAGCTCATTAATCTTGATTGAATTCTACTATTTTTAGATACATTTATTGAAGAAAACCAATGATATATTGAACAACACTGCAGTACTGCATATTGTTTCAACTCTCACAGTCCATTTGGATTGTAGAATTGGTTTGGTGGGTATAGATAATGAATATATAAAAGAACTATATTAGAAGATATTATACCCTCAGTTCGATGTTTTTGCATTTGGAATGAAGAGATAGGTATCTATGAGGAGACGGTTGAATATTTATCTTTTGTCATTGGAATTTTAAGAGTCATTTATTTCAGATTGACTACTGACTTCATTATTTTGAGCTCAATAGATATGCATTATGACTGATTTGTTTGGTATGACAGGTAAAAAAGAGATTGAAGTTGATTCTCCATTGACTGAATGGGTAAAACAATTCAGCTTTATGGATTCCCTACTGGTGTGGTACAGGAAGAAGTTAAGGAGTTTGTAGAGAGGATTACAGGCAGTGGAACTATCGATGCCATAAAGACGAAACGTTCGAACGGAAGAGGAAAGCGAGTGTGTGCTACCATCCAGTTTACCAACGATGAAGGTGCTAAGTTAATCATATTTTTGGCTAATGGACGCCTCTACTATGGTAGTTCTTATCTGAAGGCAAAGGAGTGGAAACAGGATATTCTACCAAATCCACTAGTCTTTGAGTACAATTTCAAAGGCCTAAGACTTCATCTTGGCTGTCAGATATCAAAGGAGAGTTTTTTCGTGTTACAGACAGAGTTGAATGTTTCTGTGGATTTCGGGTTTGACCGGCGTGTACTTAGTTTCTTCATATCACATTCTCATGTGGACTACATGCTCGTACTACGCTACGAGAACGTTTGGCAGGTTCAGCTACACAAGCCACAAGGCCAATCTGATGTAGATTATCTACTGATTCAGGTTCATCCATTAACATTTAGCAATGTTATGCCATTAGTTTACTGTCTTTTCTCTGCACTATTGGTAAACTTCATTAATTCGTTCAAGCACATTTGACCAACATCTTTCACTTAACTAATGCCTGCATTTTTCTTTGATTAGGGGCATTGGTGGATTAGCTCATGTAGTGCTCATAGGCCTGATTTCCAATACAGGACAGTGGATAGATAGGAAACTGGAAAGGATAACTTGAAAATGGAATTTAGTAAACGACCAAAGTTGCTACTTGTTCCTTAGTATTTGAGAAAGAAATATAACTTAAACACTTCATGACCCAGTGACTTTGAAAATGCTGAAAGCTATTTGGCAGTAAGAAAATTTATTGATATCTTCAATGTGAAAAAGAAAAGATAAATTGTCGCAGTTTCTCTTGAAAGTTGGTTAGAGCAAAAATGTAACTTAGCTGTAGATAGAATCTAGTGATGTTGAAATAAGCTAGTCAAAATTTTATACCGCAGTATTTGAGCATAGATGTACTTGGAATGGCTTTAGATTCTTTGCCCTTTGTAGTAGCATACAATTATAATTATGACCTGTTTTCATTATCAGTTGTTTGGTGCTCCGCGGATTTACGAGAGAAATTCAGAGTCTTTTGGACCCATTCTTGACGATCCTTTCATCAACTTTTCTAAAGAAATCGACACCAAATGGTTTCGAGCAACCGATTTCACTCCATCGTGCTGTATTGGACAGTCTTCGGGTTTATGCTTGGAGATTCCCTATGGTCGCCAGCTCCCGAATCTTCATGATAAATTTGCTCATTACTTCAAAGAAATCAAGGGTAAATTTACATTGGATAGGGGTTCCACTTATTCCTCCAATCCAAACTTGGTACCCATAGTAAGACCTCCTCGAAACATTAGCTTGCCATATGCAATTTTGTTTAAGATAAATTTGTTGGTACAAAATGGATGTCTTCCAGGCCCAGCTCTTGATATTAGTTTCTACCAGATGGTAGATCCTCAGAGGAACAATATTGGCTTCATAGATCATGCTTTAAATAAGCTTTATCACTTGAAAGAGTGTTGCTATAATCCTTCAAAGTGGTTAGATGATGAGTATAGAAAGTACTTCAAAGCAAGGAATCCCCCCCAGCCACCTATTATGTCTTTAAATGAGGGCTTAGTCTATGTACACAGGGTTCAAGTGACACCTTGTAGAGTGTACTTCTGTGGTCCAGAGGTTAACGTTTCGAATCGTGTATTACGTCGTTACCCTGAGTACCTTGACAACTTCTTGCGTGTTTCATTTGTCGATGAGGAATTGGATAAATTGTATTCAACCGAATTATCTCCACGGGAATCCTCTTCCTTGGAGGATGGAAAGACGAAAATCTTTAAAAGGATTCTTTCTGTCCTGAGAGATGGCATAACCATTGGTGACAAGAAGTTTGAGTTTCTAGCTTATTCATCCAGTCAATTACGGGAAAATTCTGCGTGGATGTTTGCTCCAAAAGATGGAATTACTGCAGCCGGAATAAGGAAATGGATGGGAGATTTTCGTAGTATACGAAATGTGGCCAAGTATGCTGCTAGACTAGGCCAATCTTTTGGTTCATCCACAGAAACTTTAAGTGTCGGTAGACGTGAAGTTGAAGTTATTCCTGATATTGAGGTTGAATCAGATGGTGTCAAGTATGTCTTCTCTGATGGGATTGGGAAAATATCAGCTAGTTTTGCCAGGAAAGTGGCTCAAAAATGTGGCATAAGGCATACACCATCTGCATTTCAGATTCGTTATGCTGGTTTTAAAGGCGTCATTTCTGTTGATCCTACCTCATCAGTTAAATTATCATTGAGGAATAGCATGCTCAAGTATGAATCAACAGACACGAAACTCGATGTTTTATTGTGGAGTAAAAGTCTTCCTTGTTATTTAAATCGTCAGTTGATTACTCTTTTATCTACACTTGGAGTTGAGGATCATGTCTTTGAGAAAAAGCAGAAAGAATTGATGGATCAATTGGACACCATTTTTACAGATTCGATGAAGGCTCAGCAAGCCCTTGAGCTAATGTCTCCGGGAGAGATTACCAACGTTCTGAAGGAAATGATCTCGTGTGGTTACAGGCCGGATTCCGAGCCTTTCTTATCTATGATGTTGCTTACATTCCGACAATCGAAGTTGTTGGAATTACGGAGGAAATCTAGGATCTTCATCCCAAATGGAAGAGCAATGATGGGATGTCTTGACGAAACTGGAAACCTGGAGTATGGTGAGGTTTTTGTTCAGTGCACTGCACACCAGCAGCTGCAGGATGATCACATAATCTTCAAGAGAGGCAAATCGAATCGGCATTTCATTGCAACCGGAACGGTAGCGGTGGCGAAAAACCCCTGCTTGCATCCTGGTGATGTGCGAGTTTTAACGGCCGTGGATGTACCATCTCTGCATCACATGGTAGATTGTGTCGTTTTTCCACAAAAAGGACCAAGGTAAAGTAGACTTCATGTATTCTTGACCCTGTGGCTAAGCACCACCTAATGTTGTTTATGATTCAATTCATTTCTGCTAGTAATTTTTCTGATCTTAAAAACTTCCTATTCTGTATAAGACCTCATCCGAATGAATGCTCGGGAAGTGATCTAGATGGCGATATATACTTCGTCTGCTGGGACCCTGACTTGATTCCTCCTCAACAAGTTGAACCAATGGATTATACCCCTGTACCTAGTAAATTACTAGATCATGATGTCACAATGGAGGTATTTTTATAAGTGAACTTCGAAGGATCGATATAGACAAATTTTTTGTAGGAAAAACTGTTACTAAATGTTGTATACTGTGAATCTTGTGGTGCAGGAAGTTCAGGAGTATTTTGCAAATTATATGGTCAATGACAGCTTAGGAATCATTGCCAATGCTCATACAGCATTTGCAGATAGGGAACCGAAGAAAGCAATGAGCAAACCATGTATAGAGCTTGCAAAACTGTTCTCGATTGCGGTCGACTTCCCGAAAACCGGCGTACCAGCTCTAATACCTGCTAATCTAAGAGTAGAAGAATATCCCGATTTCATGGATAAAGCGGACAAAGTGACATATCAGTCGGAGAATGTACTGGGGAAACTGTTCAGGATGTTGGATGAGATTGAACCAAAGATTGACATCAGGTCCTTTACTCGGGACGTAGCTCGACAAGCTTATGACCCTGACATGGAAGTTGAAGGCTTCGAGGAGTACCTCGACGATGCCATTTATCACAAGGGTAACTACGACATGAGATTGGGAAATTTGATGAACTATTACAGGATCAAAAACGAGGCAGAGCTAATCAGTGGGGGTAGTTTGTCGAGATCACTATCTGCCACCAAGAAAAATGAAGCGGAATCGATCGCCACGGCTGTTCGGTCACTGAGAAAGGAGGCAAGGAGCTGGTTCAATGAGAATGCAGAGTTACATTTTAGACATGGTAACAATGTATATGCTAGAGCTTCAGCATGGTATTTTGTTACATACCATCACAGCTACTGGGGCTGGTTTGATGAGGGAAAGGACCATGGCCATCTCATTAGCTTTCCGTGGTGCGTTTACGACAAACTCGTCCGTATCAAGAAGCAAAAAATCAGTGCTAGAAACGCTCGCCGTCGGTGAACTCTTTCTATCTTGAATCTTTCAACAAGTTTAAGTAGAAATCTAGAAATTTAGAAGTTATATATGAATTGGAGAAAGCCATTCCTTTGGTTTCTCCAAGAATGTACATAGAGCACTGAGTTGTGAACTACAATCAACCTTGGTAGATTAGATTAGTGATAAAGATCTGGTTGATTTTTCTTTATCACTTTAAGTCATTCCCCGTCAACTGTAGAGGGGGTTTGATTTCTGTTATACGCTATGTGGCAAAAAAGACTGGTTCAACGATGTATGCCTTACTTGTATCGAAATTTCAAGCTTGTCATCTGCTTTTAAGAAATGTATTACTAAGTTGGATCATTCAATATTGAAATTTCTTGTACATTTTAAAAAAAGATTGAACATGTGGGAGGATCCGAACGAATTCTGCTTACTCTGCCGCATAAGATCTTCGAACCTACCACGACCCCCCTTGCTAAAGGCCGATCTCTCGTCTTGAAGGCAAGTTGAATGGCGGTGGCTGGTGGAGCACTCGTCTTGACCAGCGAAGGACCCTCTAGTAGCAAAGGAAAAGGGAAGGTGTATTTGTCGTCAAATTGAGATTATTTCGTGATCTATGTATAAAAGATTAAGACTCAGACTTGTTAAATAGGGAGAGTTAATTAGTCTGAAGTTGTTAATTTATATTCAAGTTGTAAAGTTTTTTAATCTGGGGTAAATCTGTGTTGTGTTCAAACTGCAGCATTATTATATCTTGAGTTGTGTAAATTGGATTTATGTTAGCTTTTTCTTTTCTCTTTTGTTAAAATTACCATTAGAGTTAGATTTTAATAAATTTTTATTTAAAATTTGTTTATGTTAATTTTAAAATTTAAATGTTAAAGTTATATTATTTTATGATAATTTTTTAAAATTAAATGGATTATGATTACAATTATATATTGTTTATTTCATTTATTTCTATGGCATGTAATCTTAAATTTTTATTTAAGCAATGATAAAATAACTTTATTTTTTCATACTTCTTGTTATTTTAATTTTATTACCTTGAAAATAAAAGAGATTTTCTAACTCTTTTAAATTCACATTATTAAAAATAAAATCATATATATTTATATTATTTTAATAGCTGAAAATGAATATCATACATCTATATTTGTTATTTTGATTATGCTTAAAAATTAAACATTTTTTTAATAAGTTAAAATACAATACAATTTATTTTGTTATTTTAAAAATTTCTAGTTTTAAAAATAAATATTTTATTTTATTTTAATATTTATTTTCTAGAAATTAAGTATCTTTATAAATTCAAAATAAATTATTATTCATATTTTAAGGCACTTGTTTAAAATTATATATTTTTACAAACAATAATTATTTAAACATGTACCAGAAAGAAAATGAATTAAGATTATCTAAGTAACTTCATATTTTAAGGCACTTATTTAAAATTATATATTTTTACAAACTATAATTATTTAAACATGTACAAGAAAGAAAATGAATTAAGATTATTTAAGTAACTTAATTAATTTGATTTCATCAAATGTTTAAATTTAATTATTTAAATTTGACATTTTAAAATTTCTTTTATATCAATACATAACTACATATACATATTTTTAAAAAATGACGTATACAAAAAATTGAATTTTAATTCATATAATTTATAATAATTGAAAATTATATATATCTATGAATTAAAAAATATATTTGCATTACAATTTAGAAAACTTTAATATGTGTAATGTATGGAGGGGAGTGAAATCGAAGCAATCAAATTGTTAAAAAAAATTAATAATTGGAAATTAGAATAAGAAAAATGAAAGAAAGTAATGGCAGTAAAAAAAATCTAGTAAATAGAAATGGTATAACCCATCAAAATTTAAAAAATGAAAAAAGAAATGGTGGGACCCACCAAATTTGAGATGATGTAGCCATATCGTGCGAAGAGAGATAAGAAAAAAAATGTATGATTTGATGTAGACTACTAACGAAATAGAAAATAGATAGAATAAAATAAAGTAAGGAGAATAATAATTTGAGAAATTTGAATAGCAAGTTGGATGACATAAATATTAGAGGAGTTGAATAGTAATTTACTTCAAATTTGGAATGTTTTTAAATCTTCACTTGAATAAGGAATGGAATTTCTTACTCAACTTTATTTTTAAAGGCCTTAGCGTGTGAATTTGTTATTTTAAATTTGAAAAAACAAGCTATGTTTGGTAAATTAGTACTAAATTTAGTATAAGATAATCGTAGACTCTCAAATTTGTCCGGTATTCAATTCATCATTCTTTTTTATTTGATTTGTAGTAGTTTTCTTGTAAAACTTTTGTTTTTATTTTATGGTCAATATTTTCACTTTTTTGTGTGTTTTATAAAAAAAATAATATAACAAAAAGTATTTGATTTCAATATTGATTTACTTTTGAAAATCAAATCATTTAAATAAAATAAAATAAGTAATAAAATCAAAAGGATTTTTTTGGATTAAAGGTGAATTTCCATATTTTCTCAAAATAAAATCTTTCAATAAAAATGAAATAAAATCTTACTATTTAGCATCATTTGGGTAAAAATCAAAATTTGAAATAAAATCATAAGATTTGATTGATGGTATATTGAATGAAAATATATTTTCCATTTGTAAATTAGGATTTTGAAACACTAGAGCTAAGTGACTAGGTTGAGGAGGAGGAGAAACACATCACAAGCTACTACTCTCATTTTTTGCTCTCTCTCAAGGTTTGCTTCTTTTTTTTTTCTTTACTTTATCATTCTCTCAAATTCTCTCTCACCACTTCCTACTCGTTTCTATCACACGGTATCTCACTTGCTCTTTACTTTTTCTTCTTTTTCTCTTCTACTCACCTAACTTTTTATCTTCTTCCATTCCATTTGGTTACTTTTGTTTTATTTTCTTCATTTTTTGTCTCCTTATTCATTTTATCATTATTTTCACCACAATTTTCCTCTTCATCATTTGACTCGCGATAAGAAGGCAAAAACTGGAGTTTTGTTCTCGGTAATTAGTTTTCCATGTTTAAAGTAGATTGATAAACTTCCTCATATATTGTTTTGCCAACCTATGTTCCAAGTGCAAGTTTAATTTGACATTATTTTCAGGATATGTTTCTTCCCTTATTTTATTTCGCCTTGTTCTTAATATTGTACATAAATGTTATTTTTCTTAATTTTATTAAATATCTTCAACTAAAAATTTGGTAAACGAAAACCCAACGATGGAACCTTGAAATGTTTGGGAGCCGATGTTCTCAAATTCTTGAGGAAAAAGATCAATATCTATGTGTAATTTTAATCAATATAGTTTAAAAAAAACATTTATCTGAGAATATCTTTTATAAATGCATCTCCTCAAGCCCGAGACTTTTAAAAGTATTTATGATGTTTCTAAAAAATGACAAATAAAATCTTTGTCATTAATATTTTTCCTAAAATTGAGGAATTCGAAAGGTCGATTCCTAATGATGAATCTATTTTGGGAGGCCGAATTAAATTCAAATAAACAAAATTTTCTTAATGACTTTAGGCCACCCATAATTATTGTCCGCAATTTTCTTGAAAATAATATGAAAATAAATTATTGTTGATTGAAGGAGTGTTGTGGGGTGCTAATACCTTCCTCATATACAAAAGACCCCCGAACCGGTGGCGACTCTATTTTTCTCGGACAATAACTATCCAAAATTTTATACAATTTAAACTATAAGTTATATTTTCTTCGTCTTTAATCTAATAAAGATTACGAATAACAATTTTTTTTAATAAAACCTGTGGGACTTGACAATCGAACTCACAACCTCTTGAAATTACCGCTAAATTATTACCGCTTTGATTATTAAAAATAGTAAAAAGTATAACACAAGGTATCAAACAAAATAAACAAAGAAAGGTGTTGCAATTAGTCCTAAAAGGGCAACAAAACGAAGCTTCTTCTCTCTCTTTTTCCAATTCTTTTTTATTTTGACTGTATAAATAATTTTAAAAAATAATTATTTAATTAAAATAAATTAATAAATAATATACTTAATTAGATTTTACGGATAATAATTTACTAAATGAATGTAATTACCTATTTAATGAAATTGTTAATTAATTAATTTAATATATCTTAAATATATGTAATTAATTTATTTAAATTAGCCAAACTAATTTTGGTATAAACCATTGGTTTTCAATAATTTTATTTAATTATTTATAGATTATCTATAATTAATTAATTTATATATATTTTTAAGATCAATTTTGATTCATTCATTAATTGATAAATCATAAACATAATAAATTTTGAGATTAATTTCATAAATATACATAAACACTATTTATCCTCATTGAAGTCTGACAACATTTCTATGCATAACCAAGCACAATAATCTTTGATTTTCAACAATTTGATCCTATTTTGTTGGGGGGAAAAATATTACTTGTCACCTAGATAGCTAGGAACAATCGGTATGCTAGAAAACAATCAGTATGCTAGATCTTTCCCCATGATAATCTTGAAAATACAATGTGGGTTGACCTTTAAAGCTCAACCAACTATGACGTGAAAGCTCAGTAAAACACTCGTTGGTTGAAGGCAACACCATGACACTAATAAGAGGATTACCACTCTAACTTCAGGTACTTCTTCAACTTGAGACCTAAGATCAACTTCTTACTGACTTGAGCATATTGCTTTATTTGTGTAGGTATTTCCTTACCAAGTTCACTCCAAAAACTCAATCATATACGATACTTATCAGTTCTCAAATCAGATCAAAATTTTACTATAAATATTTGATGCCGTCGATAGGAAGACTAGAAATTAAGTCATATATCTTGCCGCAACTATGACTCGCACTAGGTTCACATCCTCCTCCATGTGTTGTACTAGATATTAGATGCCATGCTCAACAAGTATTAAGGATGAGTATGCATTTTAGAAAATTATATTACTATGCACTAAACCTAACAAGTCTGATGAGAAATCATTCTTACCTTAACCCACTCATCAAACAATTATTTCTCATGCTCAATTCATTTGAATTCCTCTGAACCCACCACAAGATGGCCTATCATCTTGGCAATTGCATTGTACTGTTTCTTCCAATTCTTTACACTCTACAATCTATTTGCATTATTGCTTTAATTATACGGTTTGCCAATATAAGTTCTCAGTGATAATTAGCACCTATTTCTGACTAAGATGTTATGAGTTCGAATCTCTTACCTCCACTTATTGTACTAAGAGAAGAAGAGACTGTACAATCCGATATTTTCTCATGTGCCATTATCTCCTCTCCTCCAATATACATACCAATTACAATTTAATAACCTATAATAATAATAATGA